TGTGTGTGTGTGTGTGTGTGTGTGTGTGTGTGTGTGTGTGTGTGTGTAGGAAATAAGCTTCCAAACATAGTTGGGATTTGTTCAGAGTTAAATGTCCCGACTAACCACTGGTTACATGTTGGTTGTCATTTGCTTTTCAAAGTAACGCAACCCTAACCAGTGACAGTAACTTAGAATCTGTTTAGCAGTCAAACTGTTAAGACAGCAAACGGCCTGAGGGATAAGCCCCGCCCCCAGCAGCACCTGACAGCTCAGGTTAGCTTTCTGCTCCTCTGTCTCCATCACTTCAGCACCAGCAGAGCTCTGTGATGCATAAAGGCCTGAAACACCCGAGCCACTGGGCTCGCTGCGCTGTTCTGCTCTGGCTGCTTTTTGTGCAAACRTCTGCAGACCTTCCCATGTGCAAGGAGGTGAGAAGATTTATTTTACTGTCAAACGCTGTTAACGTTAATAATACCAAACTAACAAAGTTCTACACACTGGTTCTCACTGTGTGAAACAAGCTTAAATGTACAAATGATATTTGATGAAATGTTTTGCCATATCAATAGATTAACACTATTGTTTTAAATGGTTGTTTGGACTTTTTATTTTCCTGCTCTTTATTTATAAAYGTTGCAAGTTTCTCTAAAAGTCATTTTGTGGGACAGAAGCTGAAAAGTTCAAAAACTGATTAGAATTCAATAATAATAATAAAATGGTGGCAATTAACAAATATTAAGGAAAATTTCACATTGGCAGAGTATTTGACTGCATTTCTTCAGTTTATCAGCAAAGTTTGGTAAARATGTATCATGAGTTTTCATTGATGTATAAAGTAGTTCATATTGATAAATGCATTTTGAGAGATGTTTTCCAAGAAACCTGAGAATAACGTTATCACCACATGGCAGTTTTTCTTCTTTTTGTGTGTGTGTGTTTCAGGAAACAGTTTCCTGTTTGAATTGAAGTAAAGAGTTGTTTTGCTTATCAGAACCTTGCTTTACCAGAACTTCCATATGTTTCATCATCCTCTGTGCTCACCTCACTCATATCGGCTCTCACTTTGCATAACAGCAGTCCCGTTTGATAAAAAAAAAAACAACGTTTTTTTATCAGCTTATCTTTTCTTTGAAAGGTGTAGTTCCAGGAGCTGTAAGGTTTTATTGGTGAGCTGAGTTTAAGTAGCAGCAGGTGATTCTGTTTCCATGTGCTTGTTTCTGACCATGAGGCCCAGCTGTCAGGATGTCCCGTTACCCTGGTTTCCACATGTTTGTTCAAAGAAGGTGATTAGGCTGAGGCCCGTCTCCAATTCACTGCATTTTAACATCAGAATCAAACTCCTGTTCATCTCCCAGCTCAGGTAATCTCTGTGTGTTCCTAACAGGAGTGCTGCTGCTGAGTTTCTGTTAACTATTAATCTCACGAGGCCGTGTGTGTGGACCTGGATTAGACTGCTAACTGATGTTGTATTACACCTTGTTGTTGGACAGAAAACCTTGAGATTGTATTAAACCTTGTATTGTTCCATCATTTATCCATCTACTCTTTCTTTTGGGTGAGTTAGCTGTAAAAGCATCATATTCTCATGTTCTGCAGTTCCCCGTGGTGAGGCTAAAAGGAAATGTTTACTGAAGGATTGAGCAGATCAGCATTTCTCTTCTGGGTTTAGTAAATATCCCCTGAAGGCAGCAGGCAAACGGCGGCACATCTTTGATACTGTAAGTGCGAGCCGTTGAAAAACACTCCTCGGCAAATATTGGCCTCACCTTTTATTTACCAAAGAGGCTGGCCTGGTTAGGAGCTGGGATGTCACCGGTGTAAAATGACCCAGTGATCTATTTCTCCAACACTAATGTTTCATTTTCAAATTTGCTTTTAAGGTTTCAACTTCCATCGAGTGAATGTACGCTGACTGTGTATGGCATTATTTGCAACCATAACTCAGCTTATAGGTTTTGTTTTTTTTAGTTTGTGCGTCGTTTCACTTTGCACTTTACTACCTGCTTGTGTGAAACTCACAGCTGCGTTTTGCTTCCGCAGTCCGATTACCACTTCGAGTACACAGAGTGTGACGTGCTCGGGTCAAGATGGAGGGTGGCGATTCCCAACAAAGCTGACACGTGCACAGGCCTCCCAGATCCAGTCAGAGGGACTCAGTGCAGTAAGTGTCCCGGGTACCATTTTTAGTTATCTTAGTTTAAAGGAGACATGTCACGCTAATAAAGGGGCAATATTATGTGCTTTCCAAGCCTATATTTCAATTTTATACTAAAATAAAGTAACTATGTCACATTTTCAGCTTATGAAAGAGCTATATATTTGTAAAAATCCCCAAAACAATTTACGTCTCATCTTGACAGTTTCTAAATGTCTTGAAATAGGTCTCTGTCTCTTTAAGAAAATCCAACCACTTCGCTCACGCCCATTTCACCACGTAGCCCGCCGGAGTCGTGGAGTGGGTGGGAGGGGGGCTCCGCCATGAGGAAGTTTGGCTTAAAGATACATCCCAGAGGAGGAGCTTGTCCCAAAAGGACACAACCCAGAGGCGTTTCTGGTCCCTATCTGTCGTTTTGCTCCTCAGCATGGCTTCCTAAAAACGCTGCAGGATTTCTCAAACATTCATGAATGAGTCAAAGCAAGGCTTTGAGCATGTTTTTTATGAGAGTATAACATTATACCATGATATAAAACTCAAAAAAAGTTGATTTTACATGATATTGCCCCTTTAAATCCTTTTTTTACCACATTTAAATCACCTAGTTGGGGTCAATATAAAGTGAAACTGCAATGCTTTGCTCTGAAATCCTCCTTATTGTAACTCCACAAGCCCCTAAATTCAACTTTTTTCTACACTCCTWAAAAGTGGGTTTTGCATGATGTGTTCACCTTAGTTTAAAGCTCTGTCATTAAAAAGTGGTGGGCGACATGCATTCTTGTTTTTTTCTTGTGTTTAGCCTTCTCCTGCAGTGAAGGGGAGTTCCTGAACATGCAGCTGCAGCAGTGCCAGAAATGTGCTGCGGGCACCTATTCGCTGGGGACCAGCGTGGCCTTTGAGGAGTGGGACAACCTGCCAGCTGGTTTCATCACTCACGGGAAGCTGACCAAAGAGGGCAAGACCGTTTCAGACTGCTCTAAGTTAGTGCAAACTGTGACCCGATGACCTCCTCACAGAAGTGTGTTTATTTTCATTTTGAGAGGCTCTAATTTTTTTTCAACAATGTTTCTGAAGCTCCACCTGGACACCAAAAGGCGACTACGTAGCTTCGAACACGGACGAGTGCACGGCAACGCTGACTTATGCTGTGAACCTGAAAAAAACTGGAACTGTGACCTTTGAGTATTTCTACCCTGACAACAGCATCTACTTCGAGTTCTTTGTACGTGTTGCAGTTGTGTGACTGTTGCCGGTGGACACAGGGATTATTCAGTAAGCATACTTCTCCCCCCTTCTGTAGGTCCAGAACGACCAGTGCCAGTCAACAGACTCTGAGAGCCGGTGGATGAGGATTTCTGAAAGCAGCTGGAGCCAACACAGAGTTTGTGCTGCAGGTTTTGTAGTCATTAGCTGGAAAGGTTTGATGGAAAGATCTGTCATTTTGTTCATGTTGCCTCTGTGCAGGTGCAGCTGAGAAAAGGCAACAATGTTCTGTACTGGAGAACCACTGCGTACGATCTGATGAGTAGTGCTGCCAAACCCGTGTTGTTAAGAAACATTCAGGTCTCAGGTACAGTAAAGCCTGGTTTACGTGTGTGTTTTCTCTACGCTTTGTGCTATTTGAACCGTTCACATATCAAAATGTTAAGTTCATGTGTGAGCTCAATCGGTGCTATGACTTAGTTTTTGTGATTGCACAAAAATATTTTACCTTTTAGTGTACTTTTAGCTGCTAGCTAGTTATTTTCTACTTTCAGCTTCTACCTAAATTTGGATATTTTTAGCTAGTCTTTTGCCACATTTAGCTTTTAGCTAACTTTTGATACATTTAGCTAGTCTTATGCTAAATTTATCTTGAAAATTTAGTGGTAGAACAGCCAGCTTGGGACCTGAAAGTCACAGGTTCGATTCCCCGCCATGCCCACATGTCGTGGTGTCCTTGAGCAAGACACCCAACCCTCAACTGCTCCCCGGGCGCTTACATAGCTGCCCACAGCTCCACTTGGGTGTTTCTCACGTTATGGGTCAAATGCAGAGCACAAATTTTGTCGTTGTATGGGAACATGCATCGATGACCAATAAAGTACCTTTACCCTTTACCCTTTACCCTTTAACTTTAACTTAGTTAGCTATTAATTAGTTTATTGTGACTTAGCTAGCCTTTTACTACTTTTAGCTTGTAGCAAAACATTTTGATAGTTTTAGCAAATATTTTTCAACTTTTAGCAAACTTTTGCTACTTTTAGCTAGTCTTTTTGCTACTTTTAATTTTAAGTAGACATTTAGCTACTTTTAGCTTTTAATTAGTTTAGTGTGACTTTGAACTAGCCTTTTTAACCACTTTTTGCTTTTAGCAAAACATTTTGATAGTTTTAGCAAACATTTAGCTACTTTTAGCTTTTAAAACTTTTGCTACTTTTAACTTTAAGATACAATTTTGCTAATTTTCGCTTATAATTGGTTTATTGTGACTTTTAGCCAGCTTATTTTTACTTCTCTTAGCTTCGAGCAAAACATTATGACACTTTAGCTAGTTTTTTGATAATTTTAAGTTTTAGTGTATTACTTTGCTTCTTTTATCTTAAATCTAACTTTTGATACTTTTTGCTAGTCTTTTGATACATTTAGGTTTTAGTGTAATGTTACTTTAGCTTTTAGCTAGTGTTTTGCTTCTTTTAGGTCAAACAGCTCAGTTTCAGATTTTCAGCAAAGCCATTATCTCTAGCTTTTACACTGCATTTTTGAAGATGCAATTCATCTAACTATGTAATTTTATTCAAGCTGATTGATGGATTTCTTGCAGGAGTGTCCTACACCTCGGAGTGTTTTCATTGTAAACCTGGCACACACAGTGCAAACCCAGGATCTCCCCGGTGCACCCCCTGTCCTGCTGACACCTACTCCAATAAGGGCGCCACTGTTTGCCACGAGTGTGAAACAGACAAATAYGCCGGTACGCCTGCCTGCATTTTCTCACAGATCCTTTAGCCACATTTCAGCAGCTGCACATAGAGGGCAGCCGGCATGCAAAGCAGGACATTTAGTACCTAAGTGGTTATCACTAAATCTTAATGTGAGCTGTGTGTTCTCTCTCACATCTGTTCTTGTTTTTCCTATGTCACCAGAACCCAGTTCAGGGACTTGCAAACCAAGGCCTGCATGTACACACAGTGACTACTTTTACACCCACACCCCTTGTGACTCTGAGGGAAAGGTAATGAAGACAAATAATGATCAGTGAAAAACTGGGAAAATGTTTCCTGCGTTTACAGATTATGTGACTGGTTTGGTTGTAGAGTGACTAACTCGTGTCTTAGACTCAGCTCATGTACAAGTGGATCCAACCTAAGATCTGCAGTGAAACCATCGAAGGAGCAATAAAGCTTCCAGCATCAGGACAGAGGCAGACCTGCCCGCCGTGTAACCCGGGCTTCTTTATCAACAGCACCTCAGCATGTGAGCCCTGCAGTAACAACTCCTACTCAAATGGAACAGGTACAGAATCATTACTGTCCTTCTGTTCTTCTCAGGGTCTGGTGAGCTTTACTGTGAGACGAACATGAAGATTTTTATTATTAAAAGCTTATTTAATAGAAGTTTAGTTACAGCTTTGTGCCAGAAGGACTCAACTAGTAGGAATCTTTTGAATTTATTATTGTAAGAAATAAAAATCTTCACTAAGTCATTTTAACTGTAAGCCTGCAAAAACTACTGGACAAGATTGTCTGGATTTTCCAAAAAAGATTTCTTTTATTTTTATTTAGTTAAACACATATATTTATGTCCTTATAATGATATTTGAACATTTCTTGTGCAGGGAGATAGTTTGGCACYGGTAACTTTGTTTCAGACATAAATTAGTAAAATAAAGACTCAAGAGAATAAATACAGTATATTTGCTTTTGAACAGCAGCCACATGTTAAACTAAAGGACAGCATTTAAAATATTTACGTCATGGAATTTAAATTTTCTTGGGCTTTTCTCCTATCTTTGCTTTGTTCCATAAACCAAAATCAATTACTAACATGTCCTGGCATTGTAAAAACATGCCTACATTTTGTAACTCAATAAAATGTATATACACAGTATATCCTGATAGTTTGTCATCGTTTACCTCCCAGTCTGTGCCAAGTGTCCTGTTGGCACAGAGCCGATGCTGGGCTTTGAGTACAAGTGGTGGAACACGATGCCGACCAACATGAGAAGCTCTGTTACTCGTCACGAGTTCAGCAACTATGACCAAAGCACAGGTGAGAGCCCACCTGGTGGAACAGCTACTTGCAGAAAGACAGTAGAGTCACCCAATACACTTCAACATGCAAAAATATATTTAAAAGCAATGAGTTAAGTTACAAAATGTGTTTTTAATCTTGTATGGTTAAGATTTAGATGAAAAATAGCGTTTTTAAATGACATAAAAGACCTTTATTCAAAGTATGTTGTTATTATTATTATTATTATTATTATTATTATTATTATTATTATTATTATTATTATTATTATTATTATTATTATTATTTTACATTAATTATAATGACAGCATGGGAGGTGGCTGGAGAATATGTCTACACCCCCCCGGGGGATCTGGATACTGACTACCAGATTCTCACACTCACTCTTCCTGGATACAGGTGAGGAATTTACTCAGCACAGTTAAACACATGTTTTCGTTCATTACATCTCGTGATTATAGATATCTGTGGTGAAAATTAAATAAAATGTGTTTTGGTTGCTTAAGGGCTGAGTCTACAGCCAAAGACACAGAAAGGAGTGAATTATCTCGCATCACCTTTGTCTTCGAGACCTTTTGCACAGCTGACTGCAAGTTTTACTTCATGGCGGTGAGGGAAAAAGTTTTTTTTTAATTATTTTCTTCTTACAAATACTTTAAGATGTGTACTGTGCAGAGCTTCATATACGTTTGACTGGGATTTCTGAGATGAGAAGCTGTCATTTCAGGGTTATAATAGCTGGTTTAATGATGTAGTGGAGGAGTGGAAGGGCACCAACAGGAAGCAGTCGTACTCGTACCTGATCCAAAGTAACTACACAGTCAGCTTCAGCTGGCAGTTTCAGCGCACTGAGACGTACAACACGGTGAGGAACATCACACATGTTCACCATGACAGATATTTTATTATTTWAAAACACTTTCACTTAGCTTTATGTGTAACTTAGACCTAAACTGGTAAAGTTTTTGATCAATGGCATGATTTAAATTGTTTTTGTTCTAGAACTATTCTTCATACAGGAATAACAATCAAGCTTGAATTTCATATTTTTATATACAAACTGAAAACTTTTTTTTGTTAGGAGGGATGAATATGAGAGCAATGTTTGCTTTATTTTAGAGCATTTCTCCAATTTTCTTTGTTTCAGTTGAGATTAAAATAAGCTTTGATTTATAGCTCATGCTCAAAATCTCTCTTTTCTTGTGCATAAGCAGTAAAAATATTGGAAGATACTGCAATAAAGTGAAAATAATGATCGTAGAGAGATGAAATGTTTGTATTCAAAAAATGAATAATTGTAGCAATTAAAGTAATACAACTACTATGTTGAAGAGTATTAAATTCGTAATGTTTACAATAAGGACATGCAAGGACATTTTCTGGACACATACCAGTTTGCAAAAGTCCAAGAAGATAAATTATACTCAGGTACACTTAAAACTAATGACTGAAAATCCAAAACTCTCATTAGAAATTATTATTACATGCTTTTTCTTTAGTGAAACTGTGAATTTTATCCTTGATTTGGCCTTGCGCTGTAGATGGCAGTGTTGAGCCATGTAAACTCTGAGCACTCTGCGTCATAATAAGTGTAGTTTAAAGTTAGTCAAAGTTTATTAAATGTTCTGAATGAGTCGTTGTCTTGGTCCTCTCTCAGACGAGGAGGTACAGCGCTGATGCTGCGAAGATCTACTCCATCCACGTCACCAACGTGGTGGGAGGCGTGGCCTCGCAGTGCCGCCGCTGCGCCCTGATGTCCGGCAAGTCTGACTCCGCCTGCGTCCCCTGCCCTCCGGGACACTACATGGTCGAAGCCACAGGAGTGTGTAAAAGCTGCCCGCCCAACACCTACATCAGGGCTAGTCAGCCAGTTGGAAAGTCGGCCTGCATCCAGTGTGGCCCAAACACCAAAAGAAACAAAGTAAGGAGMCAGATTTCACAGAAAAAGAAAGCTTTGATTAAATTTATTCAGGTTAAAAACGCTCTGTAGGGTTCATCTTTGTAGTTTTAGTTGAATTTGGGCTTTGAAACCTATTTATTTCACATGATTTTATTTGCATACAACTCTATAGGTAAAATCAAATTATCAAGGTAATGTTCAAACAGCTAGATTGAAGGGGCCCTCTAATCACRATGCACATGAACCAAAGACAGTAAAAAATAAAGGAAAATTTAGGTGAGTTTAAAAAATTTAAAATCTAAGACATTTATATAATGTTGCAAATAAAATAAATCATTTGATCGTAGATACAGAGAGAAATAAACAAAATGTTTTTTCTATGTTATGATGTGTTTTATCATATTAAGTCATGGCTTTGATAGATCCTAAGAGTTTAAAACCGAAGTCCTTTGATCTTAAAACGAAAAAAAAAAAGTTTTTAAGATGCTTTCTTCTGTAATGATTTCTTACTATGAGACTGCAGGTTTATTTTCCTCACAGGAGAGAGAAAATGACGTGTGCCTGATGAAACTCTGACCTTTGACCCACAGGCCTACACAGCCTGTCTTAGTGACTGTAAGGTGGACGTTCAGGCGAAGGGAGGGGCCCTGCTGCGCTACGATTTCTCTCTCCTGTCCAATGTCACCAGCTTCCGCAGCAGCCCCCGCTTCACCAACAAAGGCCTGCGCTATTTTCATCACTTTAATTTGGGTCTGTGTGGGACCGAGGTGAGAATATATTGCAGATGTTCCTTTTGTGAACTGATTGATGCTCGATGTGCGATTCACCTCCCTGTGTCCCGCTTACAGAGACATGAGCCGGCCTCCTGTGTGGACAACGTAACAGAGACGGGAAGAGTGGTGAAAAGTTACATCTGTCAGTCTGTGGTGGTTCCTTCTGATATCAGGAGTCAGAGCATGGTGTCCTCCCAGCCTTTTGTCATCGGGGACTCACTCATAGGTAACGACATCATCTGCAGAAGTATTCCCCCCAAAATGTTTTGTTAGGATGTTTTCCTGCCACTGCCTTCTAATTTTGCTGTCACCCTGCTGAGATGGGGGCGCCCTGTTCACAATTTTGACAAGATTTCCACAGTGAAAATGTATCAGTGCAGCAAAGCAGTTATAAAAATGCAAAAGTGTTTTCCTAACTTGTAATGATGTTCTTGCAAAGCTTCTGCTGGCTACACCTGCTTTAGTGCCAATTAGCAACATGAAAGTCCACATCAGAAGAGCAATAAGTTCAAAATGTTCCAGGCTCAGAAACCGGCTAGCATCAGAGGGTTACGCTTCAAATTTGACCTTGTGTTTCTTTAGACGTCTGTAAAAAATATATAAAAAAACCTAGAAAGGGCGATAAAATATAACGTTTGTATAGACATAATTTGACAGTCCCCTGTAAAGCATCAAATATAATTTATTTTGTTGGAATAATTAGAGCAGATTGTTGCATTAATGCTGGTTTTGTGTCTTTTTATTCCAAAGGTGTGACCACTGACTCCACCCTGGAAGGYATAACGTCTCCATCTTGGTTGTTTCCTCCAGCTTCCCCTCAGCTGCCAGATGTCATATTCTATTACAGGTAAATAAGACAGCATTTACGCATTTACTTCATTACCATTGGTGCACATTTCCAAAACTCTAATACTTTTCAGATCAAGTGATGCAACTCAAGCTTGTAAACAAGGCAGGTCGGCCACTGTCAGATTAAGATGCAACCCCACAGTCACGGCTAACGACTACATCACATACCCAAGGTATTGCTCTCAGTAACTCAGCTCTCAGCTTTTGACCTTTTATTTAGATGATCCCACAGAGTCAAACAGCTGCATTATTCTCCAACATATGTCGCGTTAAGCTCTAAGAAGCTGAGCTACGGTGAAACCGGGCTCCTTGGAGATTCACTTGCAGCCCGCAATCGTCTCTATGACCTTGTTTTTCTTGACAGTAACTGTTCTGAGGGGACGTGCGATGGTTGTAGTTTCCATTTCCTGTGGCAAAGCCAGCATGCATGTCCACTCTGCACCAGAGACCACTACAGAGAGATTGTCAGTGCGTGCATCCAGGGAATACAGGTAATATGTACAGGCAGAGGCATACTGACAAAGACCACCTCTCAGTTTCACACATCTATCACAGGAAAAAAAAATCTCATTCATGCAACAGTTTAGCTGCAAAGAATTGGTTTTATCTATCTGAAGTGTGATATGAAACTCATGCAGCTTTTTTATTCTGTGTCTCTCAGAGAACCACCTATGTGTGGCAGCAGCCTCTTCAGTGTTACGGAGGAGAATCACTGCCGGCACAAACAGTCAGCGCTTGTGTGACTCTGGATTTCTGGCTCAGGTTTGGCGTTTCCATTGGAGCAGTCGCTGCTCTGCTGCTCATCAGTATCAGCTGTTACTTTTGGAAAAGGACACGCAGGTGAGACTAGGATGCTTTACATTTCTGTCAATGTTTATCACAGCCCTGTCGGGTTTAAGGGTCTCAGCTAACATGATCCTTGACCATATTCTGTCATCCTTCTGTTAGACTGGAGTATAAATACTCCAGGTTGATGATGAGTTCTGGAGGTAAAGAGTGTGAGCTGCCGACTGCAGACAGCTGTGCAATAATGGAGGGAGAGGATGTAGAGGATGAACTCATGGACCTCACCCATAAGTCCTTCTTCAAGAAAATCAAGTCTTTCTCACGAGAGGTTAGTCCTCCTTTCATTCAGTGTCACACTGAGCCACTTCACTTCACAACAGTACAATTGTGTTTGCAGAGAACATCAGATGGATTTGACTCAGTTCCACTCAAGTCATCTTCACGCCACCAACACGAGGAGGAAGACTGCTGATGCTGAATTCAAAGGATCACCGAACCAAGAAGAAGTCTTCAGTTTAATGGTTTTAAAAGTCRGTTCAGGTCCATCAGCCTTTGAAGAGTCTGAATATAGACACAGGGCAGATTTCATAGGCTTACTAAAGCTGTTCAAACGAACACTGGATATTTCATTTGTAGTATTATTTGTTGCATGCTAGACTGCAGAATTTACAACTAAAATGCAGTGTCCAAATGATGGATTTGCTGTGGCGATGGCGTTGGTGTAAAAAATATCCATCCATGGACTGAGTTACATTTTTTGGATGTGTAAAACTGTGTGCATTTTTCACAACATTAATCATTTATTTTATTTTATTTTATTTTATTTTATTTTATTTTATTTTATTTTATTTCATCAAGGTTCTTTGCTTGTTAAACCAATGTTACAATTCAGGCTTATTAGCGT